GGGGATTCGTGGGGATCCAGATGCCAAGATATTTCATAGCCCCTGTACACCAACGAAACGGAAAAAGTAGGCTAAGAGTATTATATTCCTCCGCGGGTATGGTGACGTTCAATGTTTCACATTTCGACAAGTTGAGTTTAAACCCAGAAAGTCGACCATACCTGTCTATCTCGGATAGTAAACATGGCAGTGTGGTCTGGGGTTGGGAAACAAAAAATAGAAGGTCATCCGCGTACGCGGCCACCTTATGCTCAACGTCTTGCCACCGGTAGCCCCGGATGTCGTGGTTGTCTCGTATAGCTTGCAGGAACGGCTCCAGGGATAGTGCAAATAGGAGTGGGGACAGGGGACATCCCTGTCTGGTCCCATTTGCAACTCCAAAGCTTGCAGTAAGCCCTCCATTAACGCGGACTGCTGCCTTCGGTGTGCTGTACAGAGCCGTAATCCAAGCCATGATTCTCTGCCCAAAGCCCATCCACCGTAGTGTTCGGAACATGTATTCCCAATTGACCCTGTCAAATGCTTTCTCTGCATCTGTGGATAGTAACAGAAGGTGTTTCTGATATTTCAGTGCGTGATGTTGTATGGAGAACAGGCGAAGTGTACTGTCCCGAGCCTCCCTGCCTGGGACAAATCCCGTTTGGTCAGCATGAACAAGGGTCGGTAGGATCCGTTGGAGTCTGGTCGCCAGCACCTTTGTTAGCAGCTTCGTGTCCACATTCAGCAAAGAGATCGGGCGATAGCTCCAGCATTGTTCTGGGTCTTTCCCGGGTTTGAGCAAGACCGTTATGGTTGCAGTTAGGGATTCCCCACCAAAGCGTCCTCCTTCCGACACTGCGTTAACGGCCTTTGTCAACCATGGTAGCAATGTCGTGGCGAACATTTTATAGTATCCCGTGGAGAATCCGTCTGGTCCTGGGGCGCGTCCTGTTTTCGTATTTTTTAAAGCCGCTGCTAGATCTTCCGTGGCAATCGGTTCGTCAAGCACAGATGCCGCTGCTGGGTCTATATGGTTCCTTATGGTATCCTGAAGATACATTCGAATGTTAGGTGATACCTCCCTCTCTCGTGTCAGGGCCTCTGGGTGAGGAAGGTTATATAGGGAGCGATAGTAAGTGCGAAATTCCTCAGCTATTTCTTCTGGGTGTATACTTTACCCGACGATAAGTGTAGTTTTTGCACTTGTGTGCGTGGTGTATCCCCTTTCAGGAGGCGAGCGAGGAATTTCCCACCTTTGTTAGCATGTGTATAAAAGAAGTTTTTTGAGCGTTGGAGCGAACGGTGATATCTTTTCGTGATGAGGGCCGTCAGGTTACGTCTAGCCTCCATCAATGCACCGTAAGTTTCATTCAATTGCGACCGTTTGTGTTGAAGTTCTAGTTTTTTGATGGTGTCATATAGGTCCGCCATCGCGTGAGTTGCTTCCTTTCTTTTGCGGGTTGCGAGATTAATAATAGTGCCGCGAATTACACTCTTGTGTGCTTCCCATATCGTTATTGGTGTCATCCCCTCCGTTTCGTTTTCTGCGAAGTATGTTTCCATCGCCTGAGAGATCTCTTCTTTCACTGTTGGGTCTTGAAGCAAGGATTCATTCAGTCGCCATGACCATGTTGTCGGCTTAAATAATGGGGACTCCAACTCAATACAGACTGGTCCGTGGTCCGACCAAGTGGAGGGTTCAATGGTCGCCATTCGCAGGCGGGGTAATCCTCCTTGCTTAATGAACACATAGTCTATTCGTGAATAGCGGTTGTGTAATACCGAGTCATGTGTGAAATCCTTGTCCGTTGGGTGAAGTGCCCTCCAGCAGTCCACCAGCGACAGTTCCCCCAACGCTTTGCGAATAGATCTAATGCGAGATTGTGAGATGCAGCTGTGGCCTGTGGAGGAGTCCAGGAGGGGGTCCAGTGGGGCATTGAAGTCTCCTCCGACGATCAGAGCTCCCTCCGAGAATCCCTTTAGTTTGTTCACCATTCCTCGTAAAAATTGTGCTTGGTTCGAGTTGGGAACGTACACGGTCACTAGGGTATATATCCTGTCCGCTATTAATCCTTTTAAGAAGAGAAAGCGTCCTTGATCATCGGTTAGTCTATCTAGTTCTCGGAAACCAAGGTCCGCAGCGATCAAAATAGCTACTCCCGCTCGACGGGCCGTCGGATGGTTATTGCAATAACTCAGCGGGAAGCGGGTGTTTCTGAGTTTGGGGGCAGCACCTTCTTTAAAATGAGTCTCTTGAAGCATTGCTATTTTTATGTGTCTGCTGTGGAGGCCCCTTAGTAAGAGTGAGCGGCGTTCCGGATAATTTAAGCCTCTGCAGTTAAGGGTTATGACGGACAGGGGGCGCGACCGTACGCCATGGGTCGCGGTTATCTGCGCGAGGCAGCGAGGGGTGCGCCCGTGCGGAGACGAGGGTCAAAGCTATCGTGTAGACCCTATAGGTCAACTCTCTACCAAGGGTATTCTCCCGGATGATTCAAGCAGTGAGTATGTAGAGCTATGTATGTATATATATATCGGAGTGTCCCGTCAGTTCCAACTGTGATCGGGCGTCTACGGGGGTGTCACCTCACCGAATCTGTGTCAGGCCTGAACGTGTACTGGAGCAGGAAGTGTGTGTGAGGTTCGGTGTATGTGTGTGTTTGTGAGCGGGGTTAGAGTAGATAGCTAAAGTTGCAAATGGTGCTCTTATTTAAAATGGGGTGTGGGCCGTACGGGCCACCCCCTTGGGGGTTATTCCCAGCGGGGTGAGGGAAGTTGGTCAACCCGGAGTCTCCTCAGAAGGAGGTTCACCTGCGTCTCAACCGGAGTGACCAGGAGCTGCCCCGATCTTCAGATCGGTATGTGGACAGGCCTGTGGCTCCGCCGAGAAAGTCACGCAAGTGAGTGTGTAGAGTCGTGGTCGTAGTCTAAACCAGGAGAGGTATAGTGTAGTTATCAAATACGTTCGGCAAGGAAGTGTCCCGCTCCAACCGGGTCCCAGCCCAAGTGTGTGTAGTCAGATGGGACATAAATAAGTGGAGCAGCAAACAATGTGGAAAACAACCAAATAACAAGCTATAGGCTAATTCCTAAACATTAATAACAGTACAAAATTCTAGCAAATTTCGCCATCCCTTCGTGTGTCCCCCAAAGGTGGATCTACCCCGTATCCTGGTGTCATCCCCACGGAGCGTACATACCCCTATGTTGACCGTCAGGAGTCGTAAAGCTAAAGTAGAAATCTAGGTATGCCCAGTCAATACATTGTATTGTTGGTCTCCACGCCTCTTGTCAACTCATTATGGCCCAGTCCGGGTATGGGTGGGTCTCTGTCTGCGTCCTGTGGGCCTCTCGGGTATGGGAACCTCCCTGTGGCAACTGTGAGTGCAAACAATCTTTCCTGACCTTCCTCCCCCTTTTTTTTGTTGGGGGGGGGGGGACTCATCTAAATACCATACAGATCGTGTCTGATTGTGTCAGGGGAAGTACCGTCTCTAGTCCCCATCCCTCCTCTCATATCTGTCCCGACCCAATTCCGTGCCTCTGTCAACCCACCCGCTCCCTGCACCCCTGTCACTGCAGTCCCAGCGCTCCCTATTTACAGTCCCAGGGTGTTCCACAACATAACAAGCAAATGCGTATGTATACTATATTATGCTAAACAACACAACAGGTGATCTTGACTTCATATGTCAATGGAGGTTACTTATCAGGTTGGGGAGAGGCCCGGTATCCAATGTTCCAGCAAAGTGAACCGCTTAAGCCCGTTCAGATTACAGTGTGCGTTGTCCACAAGGGTTGCAGTAGAGGCGGGAGGACACCCAAGGTCATAAACTTAAATCCCTCACCCCCCAGGGCCCCACCACCCAATGAGCTGGCCAGGTTCCCCCGCAACGTCACCGGAGGGGGGGGGGGGTGATAGTTCAAGAGACAGGTGAGTCAGTATTGAGGCGTAACGTTCCGCCAGGGAGGGGGGGACTGTGTCGGGGAGACACCGCCAGCTGGTGTGCGTCCGGTGCGGATGTGCCGGGCCAGTAGTCATACCTGGAGAAAACAGGTCCATGATGCAGATAGGAGCGTGTCCCTCTCAGGATCCATGCGGTAGTCTCCCATCATTAGTGGCCATGATAGTCAAGGGTGGTGTGAACGGCCAGATGTCGGGGAGGCTAGTGAGCCCAAAAGGGTTAGTGTTGCCGGGCCAATGTCGTGGTGTCATACAAAGATAGGGGAGGCAGATCCTTCCTAGCGGGTTGGCACCTTCAGAGCGACAGTTGCTGTATTTACATGTCCCGGCGGTGAGGCTGGGGCCCCTGCGGTGATCTTCCTCTGCGGCGACGGGGTGCCCGTTGGGGTCTCTGGCCTGCATCTAGCGGTCCCAGGATCCAGTCCGGGACCTGTACAGGTGGCAGTCCCATGTCCTCCAGAAATCTGGGGACTTCCTCCGGCCAGCGGATCGAGGCCCAGCCGTTCTGGTGACGTGCGGAGAGGGCAAAGGGAAAGCCCCATTTGTACGGTACCTTGTGTTCCCTGAGGAGCGAAGTAATGGGTCTCAGGGCCCTCCTGGCTTCCAGGGTTACCGGTGACAGGTCGTTAAATAGTGATATGTGTGCCCCTCGGAACTCCCATGTGGGTCGGTCTCTTGCTGCTTTCATTATGGTGTTCTTTGCAGTAAAGGAATGCAGGCAGCAGATGATATCTCGGGGGCCGTCCTCCAGCGAGCGTGGTCTCAGGGCTCTATGCGCCCTGTCATATCGAATGTCCATCGGGTTAGCACCAGGTAAAATAAGGTGGAAGAGGGCCGTAAGCGTGCCTTCAATGTCCTCCTCGCCCTCCACCTCCGGTATACCGCGCACTCTGATGTTGCAGCGACGCCCCCGGTTATCCAGATCTTCTACATTACGTCTGAGCTGCAGGAGCATGTCCCCTTGCCTGGCTAGTGCCGTGTCAGTGGATGCTAACCTGGTGCTGTGGGTCTCGTGGGAGCGTTCCAGCTCCTACACTCGGAGCCCCTGCGCAGTAACCTCCGACCGGAGTCCAGCCATTTCGGCCCGGAGGGCGTCCTGGATGGTTGTTGTAAGCACCAGGAGGTCGGCTTTCGTGGCCATGGAGGCCGCTATGGTGTGGAGTTCGTCTCCGATGCCATCCAAAGTAGAAGCCTGGGGGGTTTCAGATGCCGCGGGTGTGGAGGGAGTGGGCGCCATCTTGGATCCCGAGGCCTCACCGCGTGTGTCTGTGGAGCTGTGCAGGAATCCGTCCATGGGACCTTGCTGGTTCGGTTGAGAACCCCTGGGGGTTCCAGTCGGTTCCCCACGTCGGTTCCGTCCCATTAGGGCTAATTATATCAAATTAATAGGGCTTTCTGGGTGCCGGTGGAGCGGAGCGTTCAGTTTAAGCTACCATCCCGGTCGACGTCCAAGCCACGCCCCCCTGCTCTGTAAATTAAACTTTAATTACATACAGGAGTCTCCTGCAGAGTGCAGCGAGCTATTAACATTAGCTGACAACCAGATATTAACTGAATTAGCTGACAACCATTCAATGAGTACTCATTGGACTGATGTGGCTGGCTGTAACAGTTGCCCTATGCTATGTGGCAGCCTTTTAAGACTATTACAAGACAGCCTCAGAAGTTGGAGGTTCAGTATTAGCAAATACATGTCATACACTGTCCTTAAAGGACCACTATAGGCACCCAGACCACTTCAGCTTAATGAAGTGGTCTGGGTGCCAGGTCCAGCTAGGATTAACCCTTTTTTTTTTTTTATAAACATAGCAGTTGCAGAGAAACTGCTATGTTTACACTGAGGGTTAATCCAGCCTCTAAAGCCTCTAGTGGCTGTCTCATTGACAGCCGCTAGAGGCGCTTGCGTGCTTCTCACTGTGAAAATCACAGTAAGAAGACGCTAGCGTCCATAGGAAAGCATTGTAAATGCTTTCCTATGAACTGGCTGAATGCGCGCTGCGCATTCAGCCGATGACGTCGCTAGGAAGAAGAAGAGGAGGAGGAAAGCTCCCCGCCCGGCGCTGGAGAAAGGTAAGATTTTTCTCCCCAGAGCCGGGCGGGAGGGGAACCCTAAGGGTGGGGCACCCTCAGGGCACTATAGTGCCAGGAAAACGAGTATGTTTTCCTGGCACTGTAGTGGTCCTTTAAAGGAGGCCCACCGTCCGCATAATGAAGTCAGCAGGGGAGATAACTTGTCCTCAGCACTTGAACAGTGGTAAATTTTAGTTTTAAACTTGTGTTGTTTTTTCTTTCTTTACTTTGGGTCGGGGGACCAGACTAGGAAGGGTTTCTCTATCAAAAACATAACTGTACTCCAAGAGATCACAGCTGAAACTGGAGCTAAATGTGGCTCTTCCAAGTATTGTATCTGGTGATGAATATTTAGCAACCAACTATTTCTGTTTTTTTAATTTTAAGGAACACTATAGGGTCAGGAAAATGAAAATGGATTCCTGACCATATACTCTTAAAACAAAATCTAGCCCCCCTGGCCCTAACTTTCGCACTTAAATATAGCAAAATCTTACCTTAATTCCAGTCTGCTGCTTCTGGCTCTGCCTCTGATCTGCCTTCTTGGCTGACTACTTTGGGAGGTGTGGGGGGGAAACCGTGATTAAGGGTGGCAAAATCCATCTTCACTAGTCTAGCCAAAAATCCTTGCACCGTTCCTGAGTGGAGGTATCACTAGACTGTAACCTAAACACTGCATTTTCTCTGAAAAGATAGTGTTTAGTGCAAAAACCTGAAGGGAATGATTATACTCACCAGAACAAATACAATAAGCTGTAGTTGTTCTGGTGACTCTAGTGTCCCTTTAAGGTTTAGGTCAAAATAAAAGTATAATAAGTAACAAGTATAATTACTCCGAATTGTTAAAATAGCAGCAATGTGAACAGAAGTAAAGCCATGCAACATGCATATTTTATGTGTCCTCATACTTTAAATACATAATTAATAGTACACCCAACTACATATTTTAAGTAACTCAAATTAACTTTATTAGAAATGTTTAAAAATAGAATGCTTTTAATTTAAAATTCATGTTTGCAGCATGCATTTTTCATTTTTATCCCTTTTTGTATCAAGTAAGGTATAATTTATGCATGATAGGGAGAAAAAATAGCATAAAGTCTTTAAAAATTAAAAAAAAATGTGCTGACATTTTTATGGCAAATAGCCTACAGACAGCAAAATTAATTCATGAAATATTTTCACTAGACTACAAATGATTTAAAAACATATTGTGGTGGAATCTCGGTAAAAATAAATTTAGTAGGCCGAGATTACCACGTGGTATGTGTACGTGCATATGCTGACGTATCGATCAGTTGGTTGCACGAGGCAAGATACGATCAGTAGTGTACGGAGCATGTGCAAGAATACAGGATGTAGTATTCCCCTCCTCCATTGTGCTGGACAAGCCATGTGGTCAAGCAGGAAGTTAATTCTTATTTGTAATGATTGGTCAAGAGAATGTGCGGGTGGAGCTTAATATGGGAGGAGTTATGTGCCTATATAGGGAGCCTGCACTATTGTTCAGGGCTCAGAACTTGCTGTATTTTTGGTGACATTAGTCCCTCTGAGTCCCGATCGGTGATCCAATAAAGAATCTCTTCCTTCCTGAAGAAACCTGTGTCCATCCCTCTGTGCTTTGCTTCCGTCAGTTTCTCCGGTATCATTTGGTGCATTGGCCGGGAAGCTCATCGTTCAACGGTAGCTGAGAGGCAGAGGCGTGAGACGGTCTATCTTTGCCCACGTTCTCTACGGCTGCACCCCTGAACTTCTGCGTGGACCTCCCTTCGTCTCGGCGCCACTGGTCTGTTGTCCAGGAGATCATCGGCCTCTACGTAAGAAGTGCTGGGGTGTCCCCGTCGATGAGTGTGAACTCAGGTTCAGGAACGAGGAGGTAAGACAACTGCTGTTTTAGACGGCAGACCCACTAGGGGTATACCGATTGTGCGGTAGGCCCAAAAGGGGTTTAAATCTGTGTATGGAATCTGCCCCCTCTGTCGGAGGGAAGGAGCGAAGGCGCACCGCTCGATCGAACGCTCTTTAGTAAGACCGTTTGATCTGGTTAGTCAGGCGGGGTCCTGTGTAAATAGCCCTAGCCGGACACCGGTGTCTTGTCTAGACTAGCGTTCTAGGGTGTATATTACGTTCGCTAGGTCGGAGGGACCGGGAGACTAAGCGGCGCCTGTGTAAATTCGGTTCGCTAGCTCTCAACCTATCTTGGCTAAGTGGGAAGGCGTGTAAATTTGGAACCCACTAGACTTTTGATAGAGTAAATAGACTAGAAGGGCAATTTTGTAAATTTCGCCCTCTAGTTCGCTATATGTGGTGTTTGGGCAGTGTGGCTAACCAAAACGGGTGTATATAGTTTTAGGTAGTCCATTCAAGGTACTGGCCAATAGTTTAGTTGGGATTGTAAATGTGTTAAAGATTGTTAGTAAAGTGTATATCTTGTTAGATAGCGCGAGCTCAGCCGTCTAGCGAGAGTGTTAATAGTGTGTTGCTGTATCATAGTGCACGGTACCATAACCCTGTATATTTACTGACACTGTATATAAGTACTAATCATTGTCGTCTATTGCATGTTTAACACCGTAACCACTAATAATTGTATTGTGACCTTAAATTGTGCTTTGACCTATGCTAACCGTACTGTAACCGATACTAGTAAAAGACGATGTTACTGGGGTGTGTTATAGACGGGTAATTCATATATAGAGAATTATAGCGTGGGTGACTGTATAGTTTCGCCAAAGGGCATAATATTGATTATTTAGTGACTGGTGTAACACTGTGTGTGTACGGGAATTCCCTGAGTGATTATTGTGTTATTGTGTACGTTTCACTCGGTAACTGTACCACGTGGTGCTGTTGCCAGAGGAAACGGGTGTGACTGTTGAATAAGAACGCGTGCATAGTATTCGTTGTCAACGACGTTCCATTGATAAGTATGGGCGCGTCAGAGTCAACGATTTCGGATCCCTTAGGTTGTATGGTAAAGAATTTTAAAAAGGGATTCAAAACATGTGATTTTGGGGTTAAAATGTCTCCTGTACGTTTGGTCACTTTGTGCACTAGGGAGTGGCCTATTTTGGTTGCGGCATGGCCGCCGCGTGGCAGTTTGGATCCAACCCTGGTACAGCGTGTACACGTGGCTGTGTCAGGTAGGCCTGAACTTTACGGACAGTTTCCATACATTGATTGTTGGGGGCAGGCCGTAAACGACTCGCCAAAATGGATCCGGATATGCCACGAGGAGCAATGTCGCCTCATGGTGGCCAGGACTTGTTTGTCCACTAGGACTGGTGTTAGGCCCATTTTGGACACGCCCCCTGAGTCCGAGATCCCTTTGCCGCCTCCTTACTTTCCTTTAAGAGGAAGTGACGCGAATGCAGGAAGCTCTGCACCCCTTCCCCTTTAGCCCCCATCCACTTCGCTTCCTCCTCCAGTACAGAATCCACCCCCCCTCGTATTAAAACTCCCCTTCCGGAACCAGGACCAACCCCCATTAGATTTGAATATCCTGATTTGGCGCCACTTCAAACTTCCGGTCAAGCTTCTTCTAGCTCGGCTCGGAGTATACTATTCACTAACTTTTCCCAAAATCAAGTTCCCACATCCTCATGCCCTATTACCTCTCGACCGGAACCTTTAACTGACGCCCCTCCACGTAGCCCCATACTAACCCGACAACTGACCGGTACCCAACAATTAAAACATTATCAGATGCCTCTTCGTCTGAATCCTGGGTCAGCCTATATCGATGCCGCAGGTCAAATGGCACATGCTGACCCAGTCTTCGTATATGTCCCGTTCACGACTACCGATCTCTTGAATTGGAAGACCCACAATTCCTCGTACACTGAGAAACCACAAGCTATGACCGATCTGTTCACCTCGATAGTTCAGACACATAACCCGACATGGGCTGATTGCCAGCAGTTATTAATGACATTGTTCAATAATGAGGAAAGGACAAGGATTAACCAAGCGGCCATTAAGGCGCTAGAGGAGAGAGCCCGTGCTTTAAATCAAGCCAATCCGGCAGCATGGGCCGCAACACATTACCCTAACACCGATCCTGACTGGAATGTAAATGGCGCAGATATGGCTCAACTTAAAGCCTATAGAGATGCTATAATTGCTGGCATGAAAGCCGGAGGGAAGAAAGCTATTAACATGTCGAAG